CCTCATTCTGTTTCTTCTAGTTTTTTTAATTTATAAAACTTTCTTCTCCCTTCAACATCTATTAATTTATTTCCCTTCCTTCCAAACCAAGCTCTGTTTTGATCTTAATTTTTCGAATTCGGCAATGTCCCCCTCATTCTGTTTCTTCTAGTTTTTTTAATTTATAAAACTTTCTTCTCCCTTCAACATCAATTAATTTATTTCCCTTCCTTCCAAACCAAGATCTGTTTTGATCTTAATTTTTCTAATTCGGTAATCTCCCCCTCATTCTGTTTCTTCTAGTTCATTTAGTTCACAAACCATTTTTCTCCCTTCAACATCTATTAATTTATTTCCCTTCCTTCCAAACCAAACTCTTTTTCGATCTTAATTTTTCGAATTCGGCAATGTCCCCCTCATTCTGTTTCTTCTAGTTTTTTTAATTTATAAAACTTTCTTCTCCCTTCAACATCTATTAATTTATTTCCCTTCCTTCCAAACCAAGCTCTGTTTTGATCTTAATTTTTCGAATTCGGCAATTTCCCCCTCATTCTGTTTCTTCTAGTTTTTTTAATTTATAAAACTTTCTTCTCCCTTCAACATCTATTAATTTATTTCCCTTCCTTCCAAACCAAGCTCTGTTTCGAACTTAATTTTTCGAATTCGGCAATGTCCCCCTCATTCTGTTTCTTCTAGTTTTTTTAATTTATAAAACTTTCTTCTCCCTTCAACATCTATTAATTTATTTCCCTTCCTTCCAAACCAAACTCTTTTTCGATCTTAATTTTTCGAATTCGGCAATGTCCCCCTCATTCTGTTTCTTCTAGTTCATTTAATTTATGAAACTTTCGTCTCCCTTCACCCTCTAATAATTTATTTACCTTCCTTCCAAACCAAACTCTTTTTCGATCTTAATTTTTCTAATTCGGCAATCTCCCCCTTATTCTGTTTCCCCTAGTTCATTTAATTTATAAACCTTTCTTCTCCCTTCAACATCTATTAATTTATTTCCCTTCCTTCCAAACCAAACTCTTTTTCGATCTTAATTTTTCGAATTCGGCAATGTCCCCCTCATTCTGTTTCTTCTAGTTTTTTTAATTTATAAAACTTTCTTCTCCCTTCAACATCTATTAATTTTTTTCCCTTCCTTCCAAACCAAGCTCTGTTTTGATCTTAATTTTTCGAATTCGGCAATTTCCCCCTCATTCTGTTTCTTCTAGTTCATTTAATTTATAAAACTTTCTTCTCCCTTCAACATCTAGTAATTTATTTCCCTTCCTTCCAAACCAAGCTCTGTTTTGATCTTAATTTTTCTAATTCGGTAATCTCCCCCTCATTCTGTTTCTTCTAGTTCATTTAGTTCACAAACCATTTTTCTCCCTTCAACATCTATTAATTTATTTCCCTTCCTTCCAAACCAAACTCTTTTTCGATCTTAATTTTTCGAATTCGGCAATGTCCCCCTCATTCTGTTTCTTCTAGTTTTTTTAATTTATAAAACTTTCTTCTCCCTTCAACATCTATTAATTTATTTCCCTTCCTTCCAAACCAAGCTCTGTTTCGATCTTAATTTTTCGAATTCGGCAATGTCCCCCTCATTCTGTTTCTTCTAGTTTTTTTAATTTATAAAACTTTCTTCTCCCTTCAACATCTATTAAAATATTTCCCTTCCTTCCAAACCAAACTTTGTTTCGATATTAATTTTCTTAATTCGGCAATCTCCCCCTTATTCTGTTTCTTCTAGTTCATTTGATTTATAAAACTTTCTTCTCCCTTTACCCTGTAATAATTTGTTTCCCTTCCCTCCAAACCAAGCTCTTTTTCGATCTTAATTTTTCTAATTCGGCAATCTCTCCCTTATTCTGTTTCTTCTAGTTCATTTAATTTATAAAACTTTCTTCTCCCTTCAACATCTATTAATTTATTTCCCTTCCTTCCAAACCAAACTCTTTTTCGATCTTAATTTTTCGAATTCGGCAATGTCCCCCTCATTCTGTTTCTTCTAGTTTTTTTAATTTATAAAACTTTCTTCTCCCTTCAACATCTATTAATTTTTTTCCCTTCCTTCCAAACCAAGCTCTGTTTTGATCTTAATTTTTCGAATTCGGCAATTTCCCCCTCATTCTGTTTCTTCTAGTTCATTTAATTTATAAAACTTTCTTCTCCCTTCAACATCTAGTAATTTATTTCCCTTCCTTCCAAACCAAGCTCTGTTTTGATCTTAATTTTTCTAATTCGGTAATCTCCCCCTCATTCTGTTTCTTCTAGTTCATTTAGTTCACAAACCATTTTTCTCCCTTCAACATCTATTAATTTATTTCCCTTCCTTCCAAACCAAACTCTTTTTCGATCTTAATTTTTCGAATTCGGCAATGTCCCCCTCATTCTGTTTCTTCTAGTTTTTTTAATTTATAAAACTTTCTTCTCCCTTCAACATCTATTAATTTATTTCCCTTCCTTCCAAACCAAGCTCTGTTTCGATCTTAATTTTTCGAATTCGGCAATGTCCCCCTCATTCTGTTTCTTCTAGTTTTTTTAATTTATAAAACTTTCTTCTCCCTTCAACATCTATTAATTTATTTCCCTTCCTTCCAAACCAAGCTCTGATTCGATCCTAATTTTCTTAATTCGGCAATCTCCCCCTTATTCTGTTTTTTCTGATTCATTTAATTTATAATACTCTCTTCTCCCTTTACCCTTTATTAATCTTTGTTCCCTTCCTTCATCCCTTTACCTTCTAATAATTTTTTTCCCTTCCTTCCAAACCAAACTCTTTTTCGATCTTAATTTTTCTAATTCGGCAATCTCTCCCTTAGTCTGTTTCTTCTAGTTCATTTAATTTATAAAATGTCTTTCTCCCTTTACCCTCTATTAATTTATTTCCCTTCCTTCCAAACCAAACTCTTTTTCGATCTAAATTTTTGTAATTCGGCAATCTCCCCTTATTCTGTTTCTTCTAGTTCATTTAATTCATAAAACTTTCTTCTCCCTTCAACATCTATTAATTTATCTCCCTTCCTTCCAATAAAAGATCTGTTTCAATCTTAAATTTTCTAATTCGGCTATTAACCCCTTATTCTGTTTTTCCTAGCTCATTTAATTTATAAAACTTTCTTCTCTCTTTACCCTCTTTCAATTTATTTCCCTTCCTTCCAAACCAAACTCTTTTTCGATCTCAATTTTTCTAATTCGGCAATCTCCCCCTTATTCTGTTTCTTCTAGTTCATTTAATTTATAAAACTTTCTTCTCCTTTCAACATCTATTAATTTACTTCCCTTCCTTCCAAACCAAACTTTTTTTCGATCTTAATTTTTCTAATTCGGCAATCTCTCCCTTAGTCTGTTTCTTCTAGTTCATTTAATTTATAAAACTTTCTTCTCCTTTCAACATCTATTAATTTACTTCCCTTCCTTCCAAACCAAACTCTTTTTCGATCTCAATTTTTCTAATTCGGCAATCTCCCCCTTATTCTGTTTTTTCTAGTTCATTTAATTTATAAAACTTTCTTCTCCTTTCAACATCTATTAATTTATTTCCCTTCCTTCCAAACCAAACTTTTTTCCGATTTTAATTTTTCTAATTCGGCAATCTCCCCCTTATTCTGTTTCTTCTAGTTCATTTAATTTATAAAACTCTCTTCTCCCTTTACCCTCTATTAATTTATCTCCCTTCCTTCCAATAGAAGATCTGTTTCGATCTTATTTTTTCTAATTCGGCTATTAACCCCTTGTTCTGTTTCTTCTAGTTTATTCAAATTACAAAACATTTTTCTCCCTTCAACATCTATTAATTTATTTCCTTTCCTTCCAAACCAAACTCTTTTTCGATTTTAATTTTACTAATTCGGCAATGTCCCCCTTATTCTGTTTCTTCTAGTTTATTTAGATTACAAAACATTTTTCTCCCTTCAACATCTATTAATTTATTTCCCTTCCTTCCAAACCAAACTCTTTTTCGATCTTAATTTTTCTAATTCGGTAATCTCCCCCTTATTCTGTTTCTTCTAGTTAATTTAATTCACAAAACTTTCTTCTCCCTTCAACATCTAATAATTTATTTCCCTTCCTTCCAAACCAAACTTTGTTTCGATATTAATTTTTCTAATTCGGCAATCTCCCCCTTATTCTGTTTCTTCTAGTTCATTTAATTTATAAAACTTTCTTCTCCCTTCAACATCTATTAATTTATTTCCCTTCCTTCCAAACCAAACTCTTTTTCGATCTTAATTTTTCTAATTCGGCAATCTCCCCCTTATTCTGTTTCTTCTAGTTCATTTAATTTATAAAACTTTCTTCTCCCTTCAACATCTATTAATTTATTTCCCTTCCCTCCAAACCAAGCTCTTTTTCGATCTTAATTTTTCTAATTCGGCAATCTCTCCCTTATTCTGTTTCTTCTAGTTCATTTAATTTATAAAACTTTCTTCTCCCTTCAACATCTATTAATTTATTTCCCTTCCTTCCAAACCAAACTCTTTTTCGATCTTAATTTTTCGAATTCGGCAATGTCCCCCTTATTCTGTTTCTTCTAGTTTTTTTAATTTATAAAACATTTTTCTCCCTTCAACATCTATTAATTTTTTTCCCTTATTTCCTAACCAAGCTCTGTTTCGATCTGTTTTTTTCTAATTCGGAAATCTCCCCCTTATTCTGTTTCTTCTAGTTCATTTAATTTATAAAACTTTCTTCTCCCTTCAGCATCTATTAATTTCTTTCCTTTCCTTCCAAACCAAGCTCTGTTTTGATCTTAATTTTTCTAATTCGGCAATGTCCCCCTTATTCTGTTTCTTCTAGTTCATTTAATTTATAAA